GACCCGGCCCCCGCCCGGCGCAGAGCTGCGGGTGACCCGGGCCCAGCGCGCTCCTCGCCCACCGCGCAGGACACCTGCGGGGCGAGATGGCTGCTTCCCCAGTCAGGACGACAGAATTATAGTAGATGGGTTTGGATATTTACTTAACTAAGCCGCCCATCATAGCCTTTTAAATACGGAAATAGTGATTAAAAAGTAGAAGTCTATAAATACTGACTGTAGTGAGGGTCTTTGAAAACTGTGACTTCCTGCATAGTTTACAGTGTGACCAGGGCCCTCCCAATGTGCTACTTTACGCTCTGCGTACTTTGTATTTTTCTACGGCAGCCTTATGCGTATTAGTCAAACACTGACAGGAATCAAAAACTCAGATGGCTTCAAGGGCTGAGCAGATTTCGGAGTGGAGGGGAGGGGTTTCAAGAATATTAGAGAATTCACCCTTTCCCAAGACAGTGGAACCTCCCCCCCAACAAGTTGTGTCCCAGCGTGGAACTGGTCTGAGGACCTCCTGGGTTAGATTGACTGTGACTCTCTTCAGGTCACAGGTTATTTCTTATTTAATTTCATTTTCCCACAATAGTATAATGATTTTTTTCTTTTTTTAAAAAATTTAAATTTTCAATTACAGTTTACATTCAATATTATTTTGGACTAGCTTCAGGTGCACAGCATAGTGGTTAGACCATCATGGTTTTTAAAAATTTATTCAACAAGTATTTATCCAGTAAAGCCGTGTGCCAAAGATACAAGACAAAAAAGACAAAATTTCTACTTCCAAGATGCCAGTCTAGTGGGAAACAGACCACTACTGAGACAATTACACAGCAACATGGTACATTTTATATGAGAGCGCTCGGCTCCACTGCTAGGTATAGTTACCAGGGAACCTGTCTGTCTGCACAGACTGTTGGATTGCTGGTGTCTGGACTAGAGTAGGCACTTCGTACATACCTGTGGAATAACTGACTGGACGAATGGTGCAGTGTTTCCAAAATAATTTGACTGATCAGCTGAATCACCCGGGGAACTTTATGTAAATACTGATTCCTGGGCCCAACTCCAGGCCTATGGAATCGAAATTGCCAGAAAAGTAGCCCAGTGACCTGTGTTATATAGAGTTTCTCTGACTGTGACGATGGGAATCACTGGCCAGTAGAGCTTCTTTCCTGTCTGTTTCACTATAGTTAGCCCTTGACTGGGTGTGGGCATTAGGAGCAGGTTCTTGTGTAGGGGGGGAATTGATGGGCTGAGCTTTGCTATGCACCTGAACTTGTCTAATTTTTTTTTTTTTAAATGTTTTTATTGATTTCAGAGAGAGGACAGGAGAGGTAGAGAGACATAGAAACATCAATGATGAAAGTCATTGATTGGCGACCTCCTGCACGCCCCCTACTAGGGATCGAGCCCGAAATCTGAGCATGTGCCCTGACTGGGAATCAAACAGTGATCTCCTGGCTCATGGGTCAGTGCTCAACCACTAAGCCACGCCAGCTAGGCTGTGCACCTGAACTTGTAAATGCTACTGCCATAGCCAAACCATGACAGGTTGGGTTGTCTGACCCAGCAGGTTCCGTGAGCCTTATTAGTGATGTTCAGGAGTAAGACCTGCCTGGAGTAATTCCGTTAGGATCCTGGCTGTGGGCTTTGATGTAGGTAAGCAGACCTCTTACCCCCTGACTTCTCCATCAGCTGCCTGGGTGTTAGCACAGCCCCATAGCCCTTTTTAAAACTCTATTACTCCAAGGTCACACTCTTGATTCTACAAGGCTCTAAGCTACTTAAAACCAGGCCAAGTGTTTTATTTTTTGTCTCTATGATCCAGGGATAACACTTACCAACATTTGCTGAATAAATGAATGAGCGAATTTGACTGTTTAAAATTTAATTTTAAATGATGTATCAATTTCCTTTGGCCTTTTTTGTTGTTATAGAAGCAAGCAAACTGAGAAACTAGAAGTGGATCCCAGCAAGCACTCATTCCCTGATGTGGCTAACATAGTTCAAGGGAAAGAACACATGCCCAGAAGAGTCCGACCTGAACCCAAAGTTATGCCAAGTGAGGAAGATCCAGACTTTGAAGATAACCCTGAAGTACCCCCGTTGATCTGACATGTTAGGCGGCATTGACTGTGACACCCCGGACCCAGTTTTGCTCAGTGTGGAGAGAGTATGCATCCTGCTTATGGGATGAACACAGTTATTTATCAATATCACTACCCCAGTGTTTTAGTTCCTACTTTCTACAGTAATATTCTTAAACTAGTTTAAAATTAAAAGGTATATGTTAAATATGCTATAACTCATTATTTGTCTAGAATAAAGTGTTGGCTAGTAAAAATGTTCAGTAAATCACAGAACTAACCTAATGCAAATATCCCTTAAACAACCAAAATACATGGTGTTATGAACTGAATGTGCCCCCCAATTTGCATGTTGAAGCCCTAACCCCATGATGGTGGTATTTGGAGGTGGGGACTTTGGGAGGTGATTAGGATAAATTAGGTCATAAGGATGGGCCTCCATGATGCGATTAGTGTCCTTAGAAGGAGAGGAAAAGACACCACAGCTCACTTGCTCTCTCCCCCTCTCCACCCTGTGAGGACACTGAGAAGACAGCCACCTGCAGGCCAGGGAGGACGACTTCACCAGGAACCCAGTCAGCCAGCTCCTTGAGCTTAGAGTTCCAGTCTCCAGACTGTGAGGAACACATTTCTGTTTAAGCCACCACCCAGTCTGTAGTATTTGTTATGGTGCCTGGCAGACCGAGTCACTAACCCCTCCTCGGAAGGGACACATGGAGTCCTGTGTGTCACTTTATTCATCCATCTGCTAGAGGAGTCACACCGAGGAGCCCTATCAGCCACCTAAACGTGAATCCAGGGGCAGGAAGCTTCACCCAGGATTAAGAAAGGGCAAAGGCAGCCGGCGGTTGAGCTTCAACCTATGAACCAGGAGGTCAGGGTTTGATTCCCGGTCAGGGCACATGCCCGTGTTGTGGGCTTGATCCCCAGCAGGGGGCATGCAGGAGGCTGCCGATCAATGACTCTCTCATTGATGTTTCTATATCTCTCTCCCTCTCCCTTCCTCTCTCTCAAATCAATAAAGACATTTTTTTTAAAAAAAATGAAGGAAGGGCAAAGGCAGAGTGGAAACCAGAGTATGTTGTGTTTGGCTCACGGCTGCAAGGTGAGCATTCACCACTGAGTGTATCCTAACAGTAACCCGAGACCTGGCTCCCCCTGCTCCCCCCTCGGCACCTCCTAGTTCCTGACTCCAGAGGCTCATGCTATGCCCTGTGTCAGCCCCAGGGCAGGAGAGGCCCCCGTCCTAGCCCCTGTCCCAGTGCCCAACACTTTCTAGTCCAGGCACTTTTTCTCCTGCCTGGCAAGTTTTTCTTGAACAGCATGATGGCCCATCACGTCCCATTGTCCCCAGCACAGCCACTCATGTCTCTGCATTGTGCTCCCAGCTTCCATAACGAGCCTTGCAGAGGATCCCCTGCATCCGAGTGGCCTGTGCATGTCACTAGGAAACCACTGACAGAGGCTCACCGTGACTGTCAGGGGAGGCGTGAGTGTGCTCAGGGCCCAGGGCCGGAGTGGGCGTGCCCTCCTTCCTTGCTGGCTCACAGGAGGCCTGCCCTCCACTCCACCACTGTGGCCGCAACAGGCTGTGTGTGTCTTGTCACCCATGGCAGCCTGTCGCAGCCTGCCTGACACTTTGGCTGCCTTGTCTCCAGTCGATGCCTGCAGACTGATGGCCTGTCCCTGTGGGAGCAGACCCTGGCTGACACTGCTGTCCCCTGAGGCATCTACTCCCTAAGTTCCTCCTTCCACGGTCTGGTGTTTTCCTGGTGTCAGAGATAAGCTTTGTTTGCCCCACTGACGGTTCTCTCACTCAGCAGACAGGTGCTGAGCACCTACTAGGTGCGAGGAGCCACACTGGATGCCAGGGCAGACCCCCGAGAGCCACCCTCCCTGGTGAGCCGTCGCTGTCCTCTGCTCCCCTGCACTCCCCCGGACACCTGCCTGGTCCATCCCATGGCTTCTGCGCCAGCTCCAGGCCGATGCCCCGAGCTCTCTGCTTAGGTCTTAGATGCACCCTAAGGTGACTCTCCTCCTGTCCCTCGCTCCCCTCATTGTCTCCCCTCATCTTGTCCTGCCCCGTCACCCTGCTCTGCCTCTTGTCTTTCATCTTATGGACTCACTTTCCATCCGCCCAGATTAAAACCCATCACAGCTCCCCATGCTCAACATCCAATTAGTAACCAAATCCTGTTGAGTCTGCCTCAAAAAATGCATCTCCAGTCTCCTCCAAACCCATCTCCACTGTCTGCACTCATCTCCCCTCATCTGCTGAGTCCACGTGACCTCCACTTCCCTCCCCCCACGAGTGCTCCCTCTGTCGGTTGCCTAGAGGTCAAGATCTGGGCCCCAGCCTGTTGTGAGGTCACAGCTCCCACCGCTTCCCCCTGGGCACCCAAGTTGCCCACTAAATCGAAGTCGTCACCGTTCCTTACAGTACACAAGACCCTCTGTCCATGGCGTCACTGAACTGAGGTTGGGGGTGCGCTGGGCCCCAGGGCCGCATGAGCCATCTCAGGGCCGATGGGAGCAGCCTGGTGTGGCCAAGGCCCAGGGGCAGAGTGAAGGCACTGCTGGTGGGAGAAAGTGAAACTCGACCCCTCCCTCACACAAAACTCAACACATCAAAGGTTATTTTTAGGTCTGAGTGTGAAAAGTGCTTCTAGATCACTGCCACCTGCCTGGACCTTCCTACGTGGGTAAAGCAATCAGTCTGGGCCCCCGTTCGCCACGGTGCATTTGCACAGCCAGCCAGAAGGTGCAGCGTCAGCTCGCTCAGGGCCCTGATCAAATTTCCCTGCCCGAGCCCCATCTGCTGACGGAGGAGCGACAGCTTGTGTCCCAGACATTCCTGGGGAAGCTCTCCGCGTGCCAGGGCTCCTCCGCCCCGGCTGCCTGCACCTTCTGGGCACACCCTCCCTCCAGGCTCCTGTCTCTGCTCTCTGCTGCTGTTCCTGGATCACCACCTGTGCGCTGGGGCCTGCTGAGTGCACGTGACGCTTAACCAGGGGCAGTTCTTCCTGGGCCCCAGGCCTTCAGAGAATGAACTGCTTCTGCAGGAGTTGAAGCACTTCTGCCCCCAC